AAAAAAGCTCAATTAAGCTCAAAAGTTATTCGAACCGGATATAAGAATACTCGAATTCGGCTCGATCAATAAGTCGAGTTATTCAAGCTCGAGCTTGACTCGATAATAATCGAACCGAATTTAAATTTTCTTCGAATCGAACTCGAGTAACTTACGAGTACTAATGTATCATTTACACCTCTATATATGTACATTGATAAACCATGAAAAATTACTATTTGAACACGAGAATTTACTCACCAACTGCCTTCCTTGCCAATTACCATCACTAAAGAATATGCATAATCTGATTAAATGATTATCATTATATGATATGTGATAATCCTGTAACCCTTTCGTGGATTTTAAATCCTCTTCTGACAGTATAAAATAATTATACATATATTGTCATACTAAGCCATGTGACAATCCTGTAATCCCTTTGTAAATTTTAAAAACTCTTACAATGAATGAAATAATTCTTCATATATATTTATATGTGTGTGTATGTCTAATGTGCTGTGCAATGGAAGATAACCTATGTACTTGCTTGTTTTTTCTAAAAAAAAAAAAAAAAAAAAAATTACCTGTCTCTCTCCCAAATTAGTAAATTACACTGAAAAATGTTGCAATGGCATTGATAAAGGTAGAAATCTGCAGATTTTAACTCTCTGAGAGAATATACATGTTAGAAAAGTTACAGCAGAATGCGTCAGTGGCATTGCATTCTTATATGACAGCAGAACAAAGAGCATTGCCAGGCAATTCATATTTGAAGACATAAGAGAAATAAATTGAAGTTTCTGATCATAATTTTTTCAAAAGCAACAGTTTGTATAGAACAGCATAGTTTTTTTTTTTTTTCAGAAATGATTTTTTGCCAATCTAATTTATCAGAAAAAAAATTACTAATTTAATTTCCTTGTAAAGAAGTGATATTTAGGGAAAAAATAATAATAATAATAAGAAAGAAAAGTTTCCTGCCGTGCTATATCACTCATTTTCAATCATTTCACGTACTTCATTAACAACCAAATATGCCTTGTGGCGACCAATTACCTCAGCCTGTTTCTTGCTGTCTCTCCATAGCTGAAACGCAAACACCATTATTATTAAGTTAAAAAAGAAAGTACCCATTACTGTAAACAAACCCAACCATCAAAGTTCAGCTTAAGGTCGGCTTGCTTAAAGAGTTGCAGTAAATTGACAATGCCCAGCTTGATTGGCCATAGACAATGCAAATTGGATTAATTAAAACACCCAGAAATCATGTTTCTCAAAGAAATGGAACAAACCTGTCTAGTTGGCATTTTATGCAGGGTTGAAGTCCACGGCATCGAAACATGCAAAAAAGATATAATTAGTTAAAACAATCATAATTGCATGACTATAGTAATAAAGAAAGTCAAGCAGGGATCAACAAAAGATCCTATGAACTCACAGTGGCAAAGTGTAAAAACAAAGTGAGGAAATGTCTAGCACATTCAAGGATATGATGATCATTGTATTTGCAATATACATACAGTAGGAGGGAAAAACTAGATTGGGTCCTGTCAAGAGTTTTTTCAGAACTTCATACTATTAGTATACTACCCCTTGTTTAGAAATTGGTTGTTGCCCCAGCCTGACAGAAGAATTTGAAGAGAGAGAGAAAGCAAGAAAGAAGCTGTTATACACGGAAGTTCAGTTTTGTTATTTCAAACATTCACATTCTTTAGAGAAGCTGCAAAAGCAGATTTTTTTTTCTAAAGATTTGGAACACTGCAAAGTGGTGAATCTGGCATTATATGAAAATTGAAACTAGAAATTGCAGATTTACATTCAGTATATAAAGGTTTATAAGTTAGGTTAATGTACCCAAAGGACTGAAGCACAAGTTTGGCAAGCATGTTTAAAAGATTACAGGCGATTGCTATTCTATACTCTTACATTATGCAAAAGATTGAATGATTAGCTGCCATTTAAGTACAAAAAGGTAGTTGTATTTACTATTGGCAGCTCAAGCAAAACTACTATGCTGACAAATTGCTTAAGCAATTGTATTTTGAAGTGTTATGGACATTTACAGTGACTCCAGCACGAGCAATAAGGTTGTGTGAAACACTGTTTACATCTATGCAGCAAAATGGTAATCTATGCAAAACATTGAAAAGAGATTAATAACATTAATCACCAAGTCTGCTTCCTCAACATCATACGCCAACAATTTTACACAAGAACCAAATCTACAAGGTACAAACTCTTTTGATACACACACAAACACAATGGCAGCAATCTGACATAGCCATTGGATTATCTCTGGATGCAGGACCAACAGATAAAGGGTAAATCAATCACAAAGTAGGAGAAGGAAGCTATCAATTGAAGCATTTCTGTAGCCTAAGGAGAAAATACTGCAAAATCAAAGACTGAGCATGCAACAAATTAGTATACGGATGCAAAAGTTTAAAACATCCAAGTTAGATGCTTGGAGATTCCGACTCTGCTCCTAATACTTTAATGGGAAAGATATCTCCAGATTCATCAGTCAGCCACAAAGAAACATGCTAAAAGTGCTATTCGCAAGCTTTTGGCTCATCTAAGGAGGAAGAGCATTGGTTCATAGTCTGATGTCATTTGCATAAGATGAAGGAAACAATTGACAGATGTGCTAAATAAATCAAAAGCTCCATGTCAATACCCTTATTTTACTACAGAAGAATTGATGTGAGACTGGAAAAGATGTTGCTCAACTGCATCCACTATCATGTCAAGATTTTAGCATTGTGGCAACAAAGATTAGTAGAAAAGTGCCAAGATTATGAACGTCATGAGATGTCCAATTCTTCCAAACTAGCTGCAAATTAATGATAATTTTTCAGTTTGCTACTTCAGAGGAATGATCCAAATGCAACTTTTTTCACTAAATGAGCAAAGAGAGGCCTGGTCTTAATGAATGGGAGGAAAAGATTCACGCATTCCCCTAATTAATTTCAAATTAAGGCCACACCTGGGAGATTTGAAGTTTTTTATCTAATATTGCTTATGCATTTTGCATTGAGATGCATGAAGTTGATCTAACTATGAACTTATGCAAAAAATCTGCAAGTACACTCCTTTTTGATAGGTTAGTAAGTTAATAGCAACAAAAAAGGTAATACATCCAAACACATTTGGAGGAAAGATGTCGTAACTATGGCAGAATGATTTGAGAAACAAGGAAGTTACCCTAGTTTCATTGTGATGACAGGTTTAATAGTGTCAGAGATTTACAAAAGAAACTTAGCTAACCTTGGATAGTAATCAGCTGCCAACTTTTTCAATTTTGGTTTCAAATATATAAATTTTCTGCACCAGCTTGCATCCTACAAGTTCAAATAACTTTGTTTTACAATCAAACTCGACATAAGCATTAACTAGGAAATTAAAACAAAACTTCATACTCTGCATTTATTCCCATATCCACAAGAAAATGAAATATTAAAACATGTTGATCTGCATTCTGCAAAAAGGATAAGCTTTTTGCACATTAAATCAACCAAACACACCACACACACACACACACAAATAGATAAATATATATTAATATATTTGTGTCTGCGTTGTGTACTGGTAGTTTCTAAGATAACAATTATGCTTTGCAACAATAATACCTTCATCTAAGTTCGCCAACATCACAGACAAGAACTAAAGATTGAATATAGCAGGCTCAATGCAATTTGAATCAATTGCAAACAACCAAAAACCCAAAAGTTCGACTTGTTTTCAGTGTCATCTAAGCTAGGCCAGATAACCGGATCTTCAAAGGCAGGATATCTCCCACTTATAATCTATTTCCCCCATTTCCTTCACTTTCTTTGGAACCAAAGCACACAATGTTAATTGATCTCATTAAATGTAAAAAGACGTCTCAAAAGCTACACCTCCACGTTTGGAATAGGAGATTTCAATAAGTCCCAAGTTTAAATCTTGGGAATGGCCGATGAGGTTCATGGGATGAGAAAAGACTAACTCAACGCTCAATGTATCTCCATATGTACGAAAATATTATATGGGAATAAGAAATGGTTTATAGAAATCAAATTCTCTACAAAGGTTTTTAAGCGTTGACATTTTCCTGCCAAAATAACTCACTTTCTCAGATTCAACGAACAACAAGAAGTAAACAAAAACATATCAAATCAAAACAAACCATAGAAATCATACTATAAACTACCCAGAAATACACTTAGCAAAGTATAATCAGAGATGCCTCAAGTTGTTGAGCCTCAGCTATGACTCTATAAAACTGACTCTCACTGCAAATTTGCAGCAACTCAAGTGCCAATGGTGCATCATGCAACTCTTCCAAATACCCTTCTTTTTTCAAAGCATTAAAGATTCCAAATTTCCCTCCAAACCCATTAATTTTCTCATTAAAATCCAATGTTTTTCTCTTCAAAGAAAACCCATCAAAGCTTGAACATGGGTATTTCAGAAAGGGTGTTGAAAAACCAGGGTCTCCTCGAAACTTGGAATATAGCAGAGTTTTGAGAGATGAAGAGAAGTGTAAGGAGAATGATTGAGAAGTCATTGTCGGAAATGTTTGTTTTATTTTTAAAGAGTATTATTTTGTAAAGGTTTAAGGTTTAAAACCATGTTTCAGGTTGGGAGCCTTGGACTGTTTCAGGATTTTCAGGGGAGATATAAAATTAAAAACAATCAAAACTTGTTCTTTTTTTCTCTGGCAGGGAAGCATTATAAAATGTTAAGCATCTTTTTGCAAGAAACATAGTTTGAAAATAGAAAAAAGAGTTTTCATAGGGTGATATTTGAGCTTGAGACAAGAGATTACATCTTAAAATATTATATGAATCATGGGAATTAAGTTTTCAGTAATTTATAATATAATTGTAACATTTAATATAATTCATTTTTATTATTAGATATACTAATTATTTAGTACAATAAAAATTGAAAATTACTTTAAAGAACAGAAGTGGAATGTAGTGAAATGTTCTTGGTCAGTCATTGTTTAAAACATGAAAGTGAATCTTATTCAAGCCTTATTTTTATAATGGAAACAAAGAACCTTCCATTATCATTAAGAAAGAGAAAAATGTTACTACATTTACCATGTAACCCAACTAACACGTAAAGATAATAATGACAATAAAAGATTGAGAAAAGCCATATCAGGTTCAATCTGATTTACTGTTTTTTCTTTGTTTGTGTTAAATCACGTAAGAAAAGCAACACACCAAAGCTTCCAATAGGGATACAAAATTCCAGAATTGACATAACCAATGCAACTCTAGAAAGTTTATTTAAAGAAGGAAAATCTTTCAGCTTCTCAAATTCTCAATAATCTTGGAGAGTGCTGAGTAAGTTCCAAAGGCTGATGAAACTACTCCCACTGCAATAACTATAATACAAAGTGTAGCCTATAAAAAAGAAAAGCAAAGATTATGAGAGAAAGGAAGAAAGAAAAACTAAGCATTCTGAAAGATGCATGTTCCAAACGAACTCTTCTTGGATTCAATTTTCTTGTTTCCTTCTATGTGCAGATGCATTAAAACTGGTTAATTTATAAACTGTTAGATTAAGTATAAGTGTATATGATGTATTTATATATGCCTTTTACATGTATTATATGATCATATACCTGAATACGGGTCACTTTACCCCTCAGGATGGTTAAATAACAAGCAGGGGGAAGTATCAAGGTCTGCGATGGAAGTAATTGTCAAAAATGCTATTAGTCTTCTGTTCTATAGTTATCTCAACCAAGTAACATTTAAAAGTAACAGAAGAAGCTCCATGATTAATAAGGTAACTTACCACAAGCATTGTGAGTAAAGATCCTATCAATGACATCACCAAACCTGCAACAAGGGAAAATTTTCTGATGATGACCTAGAAATTTAATGGAATACCTAGCACTAACTGGATGATCCAAGCACAAAGATCAAAGAATAACATAGAACATATTCTCTTAGTTCAAATTTCAAAATAGCAGATACGATTGCAAGAGAAGAGTTCTGTCTTTGAAGATGAAGATAAATAGAAGACGCTTACCGAAGAAAGGGATGCTGAGACCAACAAACAAGGTTGAGATCACGAGTGATGTTCTAATTAAGAGAGCATAGATGTGAGACTTGAGATGGCTTGATGGTATCAACTCCTCAAGACTCATTGCCACTGGAGACATGGTTAATGCATATGTTTGGTCTAATTAAGGCAGAACAACGGTTTTTCTTGGATATGAGATCACAAATGATTACAAATATATAGCTAGACTTTGTTTAAGTCAACAGGCAGAATAAGATGATAACAATTCTCTTTCTTGAAAGGACAATGAAAGAGAAAAAACGTCAAGTAAGAAAGAGAGTGGGGAGTTATGCTTACTCATGATCCCTCATTTTCTATAAGAACTGTCAAGTTCTTGTTCCCACTTATTTTCATGACCTAGTAAGCTGATTTCACAGTAATTATGCTATATATAAAGAAAAGGATATTTGGTAAGTGGGTTGACTACCTGCAGAATAACAAAAAAATAAATGAATTATAGTTAACAGATAGGATATTAATTACTGAACACAATGTTCATAAAATTGGTGCATTAATGACATCTTCAAATATATGCAATTCTACCACTTGCTATAATTAAGCACGGAACAAATTGTCAAGATAAATCTGATAAGAAGAGCGTACTGTTGTCCACACAGCAATCTTTGAAGCAATCAGATCTTCAGGCATGTTAAGAGTAAACTGTGATTCTGTTGCTTCTCCAAACATTGTGTATCCCATAATTGCAGTTCCAGCATACAACAAAGAACAGATTCCAAAACTGCAAGGAAATTAAAACCAAAATTGATAAGATTGGCAGCTTTTCTAATTAGAAAGAACCCCTTAGAAGGAATAAGAGGCAGCTGGTTACTAATCAACAATTTTTATCCCTTTTGCTTACACCACCTTGAACTATCAAAAAGAATAATAACTTTGAACGATCTAAATAATGCAGAAAAGTAAAAAAATCTAGCAAGAGCAACAAGACAAATCTCATGTAGACAGAAAATACTCTGCATTTCAGAGTTTCTTAATATAAGAAATAGAAATGAGCAGCTAATTTACCATGCTAAGAGTACCGAAGGGAATTGATTTGGTTTCGCCATTGAGGTATAGATATTTGGGAAAACAGCATGTCCTGAATAGCAGTAACCATAAAGCCCAATAGCAACTGGAAGGGTAGACAGGTTCAATGTAGTTCCTTTATTATGAAAGCCAACTTGATCTACCAGGCCAACCCAAAACAAGCAGAGTACTACCAAGATTGATGCAACAACTCCACCAGCTGGAAATAGAGAAAGAATACATTAAGACAATCTCAAACTATGTTACAAAGTGCAGTGAGAGATGGCCTAGGGGATGAAGAGAGAAAAATTAAAATGAAATGATATTATGGATTTAAGTTAGGAAACATTATAGAACAGTATGTTGCTTACCAGAGATATAACTAAGAACACTGAGGTCTCTGAGCCAAACTGTAGGAAGAACAGCAAGGGTTGTCATCAATGCAAAGAGACGGGTCGAGTTCAACTCAAGTCCACCTAGACTAATATGTGCATTTGGGAATATGGATGACAAGTTATCACCCTCTAAAATTATGTATTCAACACAAGAAGCCTGCATGGAGGATTATAAGAGTAATTAACCTCATTGGTGTAGAACATGTTCAAGAAAAAATCCATGGCAATGGCTACATTCTCTATGATATAAATATGTGATCAAGTAAATAATCTATTTATCATCAACAGTATTAGATGATAGTGGCAGGTGATTCTAAAATGAAACTTCCTATAAGTAAAAAACCGTAAGTTCAACAGGTTATGGAGAACCTTTTATTACAATTTATCTGCAATTTTGACCAACAAAGAAAAAGAAACTTTTCCCCCTGCAGGTTTTCAATTAAGATATATGCAAAAGTCTTCGCAGCTACAAACATAAAATGGTATTAAAATCTGGAATTTTTTCTGAATACTGATTCAATGACAAAAATTCACCTGGAGGTACTTTTCAGGAAGTCAAAACTCAGACATATAGTCTATGCCTTAATGAGTGGTACTTGCCATTGAACCTAGCTGCACTTGGCATTGGCTGAACAATTTTTTATCATATTATTCTCAAATTATTCCTGACAGAAGCTTCTAATGGAATCTTAGCTTAAATTTTCTCATTTCTCCAGGGTAGATAGACAACTATTGGATTTATCAGGAAAAAAAATACAACAGTTATTCTTATAGAAAAGCCAGCTGTACTTACATATAACTCCACATATAAAATTATCTGCAGCCACGAAAAAAAGACAAAACTGACATCAGTAATCATTCAGTTTTTGTAAACTAGTCTTAATTTAATCTGTCAATTTCCTAGTTTCTATCTTAATAATCAAAGCCTTAGACTTACCGAAAGGGCAATTCTACCCACAGTACCAAATGCAGCTTGACCAATGTCTGGGTAAGTTTCAAGGCCAGGTTTACTATCCAGGCATTGGCGCAAAAGCAGCCCAGTGTAAAAAGAAAGCATTGCAAATGTGAATAATATTATAAGGCCTAACCATCCTCCTTCCTTGGCAGCATATGGGGTAGAAAGGATTCCAACTCCACATAGCACATTAATCCCTGCATAAACCCAAACGGAAAAGACTAAGGAATGCTACTTTATTTAATTTGGTTGAAACTCTGAAATCTGGTTTCAAATGTAAGTAAATGCATCTTATATTACTCTAACATGGACTTATGGGTTAGATGTGGCTTCATATGACAGGTTGGATGACTAAAATTTAAAGGCCTTTTTGTCCATTCAAGGCCAATAATTAGTGAAGTTCAGTTCACCATAAGTTCTTTCAATGGGATCTTCCTAATGAAAGACTAGAATAGTTAAAACCATCGTAGACATCCAGAAGCACCCTGATTATTTTTTTCATGATTTGATTTTAGTCAACTGAACCAAACCAGAATTAAGCAATCCTTTTTGGAAGGATTTATGACTAAATCAAAGTTTCTAAGAGTAGCAAGAAAATAGCGTTTCAATCACATTGACAGATTGTAACTATGTGACAAATAAAATTTGGGGAATGGCCAAGAATTGAGTAAACTAACCATTAATCACAGCTTGCCCATATGAGCTCTGCCGAGAAATTGGAAGTTCATGGGAGACCTTGGATGTTTTGTCATCTACTCTTACAGACTGTCTCCTTGATGGGATCGGAGGTAGCAGAGAGTGCGAACTACGTCTTTGATTATGTATCTGATCATCTACTGTATGTAGTAGAGGTTTTGTCACTGAAGATAATGATTCTGGAGTTTGTCTTCTTGTTAAAGATGAGGAAAGAAATGAGCTGCCCAATCTTGAAAGTGAAGGAGTGCCCAAAAACCCGATACTCGGAGATTGTACACTACTATACAGATCAATAGACTGCCTGAAAAATTGACAGAAGCCATAAGCATTTAAAACTAGAAGAGGAAGCAATGCCTAAAAGAAGTGATTAATCAGGTTTTTTTTACCTGATTCAAGTATCTAATGTTACACAGATCAAAGGTTCTATAACAGTTGCTAATGTCACATTAGTTTACTTTGAATCCATGACTTTCAGCTTATGTCAAATTTGGCAAAATCTTTTATACCAGAATATACTATTATTTGTATGCTTGAAGGTTCCAGCAGCAGAATGGAGAAAATTTTAGTAATCAAAATTGAATGAGATAGAGAAAACTACTTTTTGTTGTACTTTATAGTTTAAAAATCAAAACCCTCAACCAACTTAAATGGTCTATTTTCTAAGAGGATCCCTTAGAGGATTCATGTTTCCACTATCACCAGGGTAGCGTTAGCCAAATTCAATAATTAGAGACAGATTTTAGGCCAACGTGTCATAGAGAAGCATATCTTATACAACATTCATCAATGATGGCAATTTTGAGGGTATCGATTACAGTTTAAGTACTTTTTTTCCCTTTCTAAAGAGATGCTCCAATCTACCTGTATTTTACCTGCATTATTATATACCATCTCTTATACAAATACACAATCAGTCTTCATCAAGAAAAGTAAATCAAAGTAATGATGTTAACAAGCATCTGCATCCCAGAAAGAGGAAAAAAAATTAAAATTTTTTTGGCCCGACACTTCTTACTCCTTAAAACAATCCAGGCTGCTATGACTATGAGACTTAACAAATGAAAGTGAACAGAATAGAGCAGAGTTCTACATAGGAGTAGTAAATTATGTAAGGATGAAAAAGAGATATGACCTGTAACTTTGAGGCCATGAAATATTGTAGGAACTGGGTTTGTTATGCTGCTGGTTTTCAGCTGAATAATCAGAAGCATCAAATTCGTTTCCATCATCTTCACTTTCCTGTCTGTTAAAAACTTTCTCCTCATCTTCCTCATCTTCACTCTCAATATAGAAACTCTGATCCGAGACCGAGCTCTTCATTCTATTCAATCCTCAATCTCCTGCTGCAAAAATCTTAAAGCTCAATACATATTCTATTGTTAAACCATGTTTAATTCAAAGAAGGAATTGGATTAAAAAGGCTATGAAATAAGAGGAAAAGTCACATTTTGCATACCTTAAATGGAAGAATTCAGTTAGTGGCTTGTTTTGGCAGGTTGTTTCCACCTAAAAAATGTCTGAAATTAAATAAAAAAACTAAAAATAAATAAATAAATCAATCTTTACAAAAAAGGAAAAAGATCAGTCAAATTGTTCAGAAATAGCAGATTGCTTGCATGAGTGAAATTACAACAAAAATGGTCGATAATTGTAAAGAACGTCAAGTATTGGAATTCAGTAATAACACAATCACGCACAAATTCGTATTTCTAGGAATCGAGTTTGAAGCTTTCAAATTGAACTCTTAAAGTCTTGAACTTTTATGTTCTGTTTAGTTTCTGAGTAAAAAAATTTGGAGAAGGCAAAAACATTTTCTTTTTTTTTTTTTGTGAAATTAGAATACTGAAAACTCAGCCAAAGCAAGAAGTTTTGAATTCCTCAACACATTCCCTTTCTTCACCTCAGTTTTCTCAGCAACCAAACAGCAACCTTCAGAACATTAAAAAAAAAAAAAAAAAACAGAAACCAGAATCCAAAATCAGCCCCAGAATTTTCTCAGCTAACTCAAAACAGAAACCATATTTACTACGCTACAGATTACAGAACCTCTCTTTCTATACAAACACTGCAATGGCTTCTTTCTTTATAAGAAACAAAGAATAGAATCAGAAAAGTAAACCTTTTTCTGAACATCTGATACAAAAAGTGAACTGGGTTTGGGTTTGTTCTTGAGTTGAGGATCTGTATCAATAAACAGAAAAAAAAAAAAAAAAAGCACACAGAAAGAAACTGCTAGAAACAGAAAAATGTTGTCTGCTGGTTGTCATCGTCAAATAAATAGGAACAATCTTTAATTTTCTAACTGAATATTAAATCATGCATGCGACCAAAAAGCAATAATTCACTCCTATAAATTTTTTCTCTGTCTGTACTTTGATACTGTTTTGAAGAATTTTTTTTGGATTATGATTAGAAATTTCGTCTTTTTATGAATATGTATTGTTTATAATTAAATCTAAATATTATCAAATCAAAATGAACAAAAATAAATAAGAAAATTGCCAAAAAACCGTAACGTTGACACAAACAAACTTACGTAATTCTTGCCCAGATAATCGACGGGTATAATGGATGTTTTAAAGAGAAATTGTTGACTTCTTTTTTAATAAATAAAATCTCATCCTTGTTTAAAAAGAATACTTTTTATTATTGGATTTGGATTCCTCGACCACATTGGACAACAGAATCGCTTTGCTGATTTTCCGCTTCTCAGATCAATGTCCATGTGCTTCTTGTCTTGTCCTTTTTTTAAAACATAAATTTAGCCCACAATTTCATACAAAAAAAAAAACATAATTTGACAACAATAATGGCAAACTTGATTTAGCAGTTTTGTCCCATAATTTTTGTCTATCTCAAGAGTTACAATTTGAGATTATAATTTAAAATTTTTAAATTCGAATTTTGAGATACTTTTACATTCTTGTAATGCAATTTATGAGATAAGATAAAATTATTTTTTATCTTGTAATTCAAAATTTTTGCTTTCTTTTCAACTTATTTGTCTTGCAGACCATTTAATAATTTTAATAATCTTACAAAATTAATTTCATTTGGAAATTTGAGGAATTCAAATTCTTTGATTTTGGGTATATAAAATTATCATTTTTCACTATAAAATCTAAAATAAAAAATATATCTGTCTAGGTTTCTACCCACTTGACCAATTGAGTCAAGGTGTAAACACAATTATTGTGCAGTTGAAAAATGCATGGATGAATACTAGATAAGACAAGGAACATTTCTCTTATAATCATTATAATATAATTAATTAATTAATTATAATTTAAAATTATATAAATTTATAAAAAATTATATGAAATTCATATTTATAAGTGGATGAATTTTTATATAATTTTTTTATTGTAATAAAAAAATTATAAATGATATATTTTCGATAAGATATAGATTATATAAATCACAGCCTGTATAATCTAAAATTAGATTAAAAAAAAAAAAACCCTCGTGCAGATAATGGACAGAACCAGAGATCCAATCTGGGTGCAATCACAAAAGAAAAAAAAAATTTTATCCATTCTTTTTATTAAAAAAGAAACATGTTTTTTGTCGAAATTTATGCACATGCGATTGTTTGTGATTGTGAGGTGAATGGATAAGAATACATGTTCAAAATCGATTTGGATAATCAAGCACTGATCGATCATGAAAAACTTTCATTTCAATCTCACTCGAAATCAAAATGGACAAAAAAAAAATCATCAATATCATTATTTCATGTTTGGATACGTAAAAAACGTTTTGCACCAAATTAATTCACTCCACCAATAAACTCACAAAAAAAAAAAAAAAAAAACTCCACCAATAGTCCAAGATTTTTTTTTTTTGATAAAAAAATTTTAAGATAAATAAATTGTTTAATTTTTCAAGTTATGATAAAATGTACCGTACCTAATAATTTAAGAAATATGTTATTACAAATTATGTATTCAAAATGATTTCAATAAATGATCACCGATAAAATTTGAACTCAAAAATTTTTTTATTGATAAGAACGAATTTAATCGATTATATCAAATATTTATTGATAATAAACCAAGATTTTGATAAAAAAAAAAAAAAAAAAAAAAAAAAGACCCACCGAACTAATTTAGTCTACCAAAGCACATATTTTGCAGACAGAAAATGATTGTACAAATTAATTTTATAGTTTATCGAAAGGCCACTACTTGGGAAAAAAGCTAATAGTTGAAAGCAAAAGGTTTCTTCAACTAGATTGATTCCAATAAAGCTTTTTCAATCGGAATCTTGATGCAATTAGATACATCCATTGCTTTTCGAGGATGAATATTCCTAAAAATATCCTTAGCTCTGCTCACCTCAATCCACTTGTAAATCACCATGATTTATTCACGTGTAAGTTACCATGATTTGTTATATGAAATATTCTAATAGGAAAAGATACTACTAATGAAGGATTCGCTGCATTTGGCAAATTTATCTGATTCAAGAGTGAGTAGAACAATTAGTTTGGTTCGTATTTTAAGGGTGGATGATCCCTCATTTACATTAATTTCGAATGCATAATTTTATTTTTTATTTTATATGAGATAAGCATAATCCACGAAAAAATTTTAATTCGAAATCAAGATTTCTATACGAGTTTTTTAGTGTGCCCGAAAGAAAATACTACTACTTCCAATTTTTCCAACAAGGGTAAAAATGAAATAAATTTAAATGAGCGACTGTAAGTTAAAATATTTATACATTAGCTTGCTATCCATATGATGTATAAATTATTTTTATTTTATTTAAATTTAAATAAAAATTAAATTAATATTATTGAATTATGTATATGTTTAAAATATATGTAAAATATAAATAATAAAATAAAATATCAAATCATAATAAAAATAAAAATTTTAATTAAAAATTTAACAAACTTTAAAATATATGATAAATAATATTAGAGGAAGAAAAAACATATACAAAATATTGTGAATAATATTATTAAGTATACCAGCAAAATATTAAAATAAAAATTAAAAATCTTATCACTTCAAATAAATTTATTTAATTTGCACCTTCAGCTTCTTTTATTATTTTTAGACATTTGCAGATTTATGTAATTTTAAGATAAATTTTATTTATTTAAAAGAAATAATGATCTTATATGTTTAAATAATATATGTGATAACTTACTCGAATGTACATTTTTTTATAAGAGTTTAAATAAAATCATAATCTTTAATATCTACATGGCTTTTCAAATATTTATGCCTTTTAATTGTTTTAAGGTTGATATTTGATATAAAATATGCTCACATAAAAACTAAAATGAAATAGTTTTAAATTTTAAATAAGTAATAGTATTAAATTATAAACAATTATTTAAGAAAATTATTGGCAAAAGGTTTTAAGGAAATGTATTAAACTATTTATCTTTTCTATTTTTTTTAAGTAAATACTGACTCTTTTCTGCATAAAATATCTCATGAATATATGTATCAATCAATCTTAAACTTTCATAAAAAAGGTTATAATCATTGAGTTATATTTCAAAAATATAATAATGACAATCAACTCTACAATATTTGTCCATTTAGTATCTCCATCTTTTGCATAAATAAATGAAACAAATTTATTGAGTTTTATTTTTTTGTTTTTAAATTATAATAAAAAAAGATATTAGTTTAAATTTGTTCTAGTTAAATTTATTATGAATTGAGAAATAAAAAAAATATTATATTACAGTTGATTTAAAAAAAAAAATCCTACCTGATGGAGTAAATAATATGTTTAGTGCAATAGTACTAATCATAAAAAAAAAAAAAACCATATTAGTCCCTTTAGTAATAATAAACTAATAAAAAGAGAAATTAAATTAATTGTAAAAAAAAAATAAGTTTAGCTCATATGCTTTGTGAGATATTGAAAAAACTATATAACTAAGAACCACCAACAATAAGAGTTTTCGTGAAATTATTCTAGTATTTTTATATTTTTTTCACATTTTCTTAACATATTAATATTAAAAATCCATAACAAATATTGATTTAAATTGAAATTTTATTTTAATTCAAATATATCTGAATTTATTTTTTAAAGCTACTTGATTATTTATTAAAATTATCTTTATCTACAACTAATATATTTAAAAACCGGAGATAATGCAATAATTATTTATAAAAATATTAAAGATATTAAATAAAATTTTTAAAAGCTATAATAAATTTAAATAATCATGTTAGGTGCTAATAAATGGAAAAAGTTAAATTATTTTAAAATTAATTTTAAATTGAGATGAAATAATGTATAAAAAAAAAGAATTTCATTAGAATTTAAATTGATTTTTGATTAAATTTTAAAATTTAAATAATTTAATAATTTTTTAAATATATTTTTTTAAATAATGTAAAATTAATAAATATTTTATATATAGTCATAATGATAAATTTTAATAATTGTTTTATGTGCCCAAAAAAAAGAAACTGTTCATGTCAATAAATACTATTTGATAATTATATATGTTATAATATATATATATATATATGATTTGATGTTTATCTCATAAATTACATTCAACTTGTAGCCCATATGAACTGCCTAGTGTATTATGTGACAGTTTGATGTACAAAATTCCTGTAGAAAGGGAAGTAGAAAATAATTTAAAAAAAGAAAAGTAAAAGAACAAGCTAGTATTATCTGGCTCAGCAAAGCAAACACGGCAATGCGGGCGACTATGGTTGACCACTTTACCTAGTTAGGCCAACAACTCATCGAAGCTATCCTTGCTCCTCCGGAAACAAATGTGATAATATAAACAGAATGCAAAATCTTCATCATGTAATCAACAAGTATGGAATGGAACTAATCCTGCAACGGCCTGAGTATAAACGGAAAATATCTAAGAACCATCACATGAAGTAGGGAAGCTGACTCCATCTTTTAGATGGCTAATTGATGTCGGCCATAACCATCTCAGCGCGTTAGGACCCAATACCTGATTAAGAGGCCAACAAATCACATACTAATATCTTACAGGTATGATTTAAGAGGAAAAGAAAGAAAAAGGAAAGACACACATATGGCCAAGAGAGAAAGAGAGAGAGTGAAGTACCAAGGTAACATTTTTGTAAACACTATGATCAAATGGATGACGATAGCTCTGCCCGGATTTCTTTGCCAACCATGCAGCTCGTGCTCCTTCATAATACTGGCAAAAGGATAATTTCGTAGTGACTTAAATAATTATGCAGGAGTAGTTCAAGCCACACATCCAACTGTAAAAAGTCAATATACCTCTATGGTTGTCATATTGTGAGTTATAAGGTAGATATGCCAACCTAAGAAAGTCCCAAGTGTTGCACATAATGCAAGCATCATTGCTCCACAAGCAACCTACTACACATGCCACCCTGAGAATTTATTAATAGCTTCTAACTTCTCAAACAGTTGGATTGGAGAGAGAGAGAGAATGGTACTTACAAACTTAAAGCAGGCAGGATTGATGACAAAGTTTTATAACTTATAGGAGGTCAAACACTATGTGAGCAGACTCTGGAATTAATTTGGTACATTGATTTAATTAAAAAAACTCACAAGTCTCTATAGAAGCTCAAATTTTAATTTAATTTAGTATAGGTAAACTTAAATTTCAAGTCTGCCCTAGAAAATAAAAGAAGGTGGTCCGAGAACTATAGTCTAGACTTCAGCAAAGAAAAGAATTTATAATTGAGGGCTCTCAACATAACAGCCAGGGGTAAAACAAATCCAACTAAGAAAGGCTATCTAGCTCTTTTGGGACATTACACCCCAGATCGTCAAAGGCTTGGGTCAGATTAGGGTGGTTTTTAGTCTTCCATGTTTGGGATAAGAAAAATCAAGGTTAACCTAAAAACATGTGCTTCTCACTTTAACATATCCCCTTATATATACAAAATAAGTGTGCACAGACATGGATCAAGTCTAAGAAAATTGAGGAAGTTAAACAAAAAAGTAAGCCAGAGAATGTACATTTTGAAATAAGAGGGCATGGATGGATTAAGAGAAAGAAAATCTATAGCATCAACATAGCTTGGAGGTACTTAACCAGAATTTATGCAAGGTCTAAAAGAAAAAGGGTAAAATGCTGTCGCCAATGATATTTACTATGGAATCTGCCACACAACCAAAAATCACACAAATACATAGCATTTCTACTAGCTAGGAACAGCCTATTGCAGACATGTCGTCCTCACTCCTCACTTACCTTCACAACAAATTTAGAAACAGGGGACAGGCATTTGGCCAGAATTCTAGCTTAACTTATGCAGTTGACCAGAGATATTGCTGTCACAAAAATAAAATTGCAGATGCACCTAATCAACTACATATTATTAACTACAACTTACATAAAAAATTTTGAGGGGAGTTGCTCTGTAATTCCAGTCCTTCTGACATGAACAGCTTATTACAATTACCTAAGCATGAAAGGTTTTATATTACAACTTGGGGCAACTTTGTAACATTAAAACAAAACAAGGAGCAAATGATACATACTGTGGAGTGGATGCTACTCATGGTTGCATAAAGTATAAGAGTGAAGAAAGCTTTATAGTTCCAATAACCAACACAATTATTTATCCACAGGCAATGATGGTCCTGCACTCAATTTAGAGCATTAGCAACCATAAATCTGAAAATTTCATGGTCAAAGAAACACTCTTCCTCAAATAAAAATTGATAAAAGACATATATCCTACCATCATTAGTATGCATCTTCTGCAAACCCGGCAGTGATGAGCCCTGGGAGGTTTATATGCAGCACACTTGTTACAGTATTTTGATTGTATACCCTAAATCATTCATCAATGAAGTCAGAAGAAGTTATACATTCTGCATAACTGAATTAAAAATAACAAATTCTCTTAGCCCTTATCTTCTTGATTTCCATACATCATGAGTCAATAAAGAAAACCAAAATAACATTAAAGCTCAAATAGAACAAAAATTCGGCTTTCTCTGAAACTATTGATTTGATAGATAAATTAAGGAAAAAAAAAAAGCTTACATTTTTCTTGGATTCTTGATCTGAGACAGAACTATCTTCAACATCAGGGAGATAAGAAAAGGGAATGTGACCTGGGTCAGTAAGGACACCGACAAAGAAAGAGAAGAGACAAAGAGAAGCCAAGAAAGAGAAGATCATGGCATTTAGAGACCCAACTGAGCTCTGCAAACCAACCCAATCTTCAATGAAAATGAAAACTGTCATACAATAAACAAAACCAATCAAGAGAAACACAGCAAAGATTGGAACTGAAAAGAATTTTCGGTACTTCATTTTGGAGAATTCTTTGGTCGACAAGAAACAGGTATCATTGACATGAAAGTTTTTGATAAATTTTTCGGTCGTTGGCCACTTGCTAGAGAAGAAGAATTTCATAAAAGCTCTTGGGCTGGTTTTTGGGTCAGATGGTAACCCGACTTTGAGCATTTTTTATAATTAAAAATAAAATAAAAAAATACATTAAAGTTACGTTTGGATTAATTTAAAGATACGATACTAATTGTTTTATTATTTACTTGTTATGCACTTAAATTAAATTATTAAATTATGAAAAAATTAGATATCCTATACTAATAAGATAACTCTATCTTTTAAAAAAAAGAATTATTTTTAATTTATGAGATTAAATAATTTATCATAATTTTTAAATAATAAATTTTTTATTTTATCCGTAAATTTAAATTATCAATTTCTCTACTCTCCAAATATTCTTCACTCTCCGTCAATGGAAAGTGAATACATAAAAATCAAACTTTGATATTTTATAAACTATCAAGTAATTTGTAATTCAAACTTTAATATTTTTTAAACTATAAGCTATAAGCTTTTTAATATAAAATAATATATAATTTTATTTAAATTTATATTTATTTATTATTTATTTGATGTATCTATTTGTTTATTATGAGTATTTTTTTAGTCAAAATTATTGAAGGAATTTATCAATTAAAAAGGTATTTGGGCAACTTTAATTAATTGATAGATGATCTCTAAAAAAATAATTGAGAAATTATATAACTTGTGATAACATAAAAATCAAATTAGCATATAAAGGGTAATTTTGACCAATAAAAAAAATCATCTTATCTTAATTTTAATTTTGCACTTAATAAACATGATAAATGGTAAAACAATATCCGACCTTATTTTTAATCCTTACACATACCAAACATAATATAGAATAATATAATTTAATCTAGTTTTATCTATAATTTTATATTATTTTATCATATTATAATTTTGTACATCAAATATAACCTAAAGGTACTAAATTTATCACACAAGATTATATAAAAATACATCAAAGTTTGATTATCGTTAATGTGGACTAAATGTATTTTTTATAACATTTTAAATAAATTCAGTATATTTTGATGTATTTTTTTATTATTTTATGTAGTAAATTCAGTGATTTTTTATAACCTTATGTAGTAAATTCAATAATCTTTGATGTATTTTTTTTATAATTAGTAAATTCTCTACTTTTTTATTTTTATCTTGATAACCTTAACTTTATTAACTTTTACAAATGTGTATCATCATATTTAAAGGACCAACTATATAATATATAATTATTTTACATTATCAACACTTATTAAATTATTTTACATTTCAACAAAATATTAAGAACCATAATAATATGAATTATTTGAAACTTGGGAATGCAAGCCACAACAACAATAATAAATGCAAATTTTATGTAGGAATTAAATTTTCTTTTTAAAAAAATTTCTTAAAAAATAAATAACTTAGAGATAATTTAAATAAAAATTCTAAAATAAATTACACAACATCAAAAGTAACAACAATTCAAGTTATGTCGCATGGGCTGAAGAGAGAGATAACAAGTGACCTTAATTAGTAGATATTCAAAACCCAATCTAAATCAAAGAAAATTACCCTAACAAAATTAACATAATTTTTGAAAACGTGATTAAATCAAAACAATTTTAAAAAAAAAAAAAAGGTCTTGAATTACCTTAAATTTTTTAAAAAAAACCTTGTTGGATTCGTCAAAAAATATTCCTTGTTTAGATGAATGTAAAAATAAATTACAAGCAGAGAAAAAGAATGATCATAGTGGCGATGAAATGAAAAGAGTTTAAAACTTTATAATTTTAGGTTTATCAAGTTTTGTTATATGTAAATTTGATTTAATTTTATGTTAGATTTATTTAATTATTTTTAATTTATTGATCGATTATTTAATGATTTTTTATATATTAATATAATACCTAATCATTATTGTAACTTTTACCATACTTGTAATTTCATAAAAAAAAATTTTCAAATTGTTGATTAGTACTATACCAAAAATAATAGAATTAGTTACATGATTTGAAGTAATTTTTTGCTGTTCTTTTACTCACTTCATTCCTTGCTAAAAGTTAACGACTTGAACTTAATTAGGATTCCAAATAATTTCAGGAAGCATATATCTCATTATTGCATGGTCAATGACTCATTGCCTAATGCTACAAAATTATTTATTCTTAAAATGAAAGTTAAATACATGTCTTAATATGACGACATGGGTATTCGAATAACTTTGAAGTTGAAAGAGTATTTAAATATTGCAATTTTAAGTCTGATTGTAGATATATAGAGTTACTTTGATAAAATTTAATTTAATATTAAATTTATTTATTTAATGTTGGATTCTGATTTATAGGTTTATAGGTGAGTTATGTATATTTAGCTTTTTAAATTTTTAATGTTGCTTGACATATATAATGAAAATTTCTTTTATGTTTATATTTTTCGAGATGTTGAAATTATTCTTTGATGATGGTAAAACTTTATAATTTATTTAATATTGGATTTTTATTTATAGGTTTATAGTTGGATTTTATATATTTATTTTTTAAAAAAATTTTAAAGTGACTTGAAAAAATAATGAAATTTCATTTATATTTATATTTTTAAGATATTAAAATAAATTTTAAAAAAAAACAAAAAATAAATTAAATAAAATAAAAAATAAGAAGTAGAGAATGAAAAAAGGGAGAGATGCTACGTGAACACCCTCTTTTTCTTCATTCTCTACAAAATTAAATATTAGATTAATCAAAAGAGAGATATTAATCATTGGAAACTCATTCAAAGGATAGATACTAATCATTGGGATCTCGTTCAATTAGCTAGAGAGCATATCTTACCTAGTCCAGAATACTAACTCAAATTTTAAAAGCTTTTGTAAAAGATTTTTTTTTTGACATGCTTGTGGGATTCCCTAAGATATTGTGATGATCAAGTTTACTTAAATAAGTCAATTGGTTTATAAATATAAAGTGAGTTTTAACCTTTAAAATTACGAAAGAAATAATTTTTATATGAAAATCAAGTTTATAAAAATGTGAAGACGTAAAGGGCATGCGTTTAAAAACTAGAGAGCATGAAATTACGTTTGTTTCGAAGTTCAAGATTAATGTTTGGAATCCAATCATGCTAAATATTATGTCTTGTGTGTATGCTTTAATTTTTATTGATTTTGTCATTAAACGTATACGTTTATGATTGAAAATTTCAATATATCTTAATGTAAAATGTGTAAAAATTAAAAACTAATAGAAAACTCAGAAGCTAGAAAAGCGGAAACTCAAAGCAACTGTGATAACAAAAGCTTGAGCTCTCAGCTATAGCAAACCATACATTAATAGTTTGATAGTTTGATATTAATTCCACAAAGCTTTCATTTAAGCTTCTGTGGTCTGAAATTGGCTCGTACAATGTAAATGGTTATGATCATTCAATTCTCATCTCATTTCAATTCGCTACTGTATTTTTTTTCAAAGAGGGGAACAAACCATAATTATCATCATGGTTTGCCATGGGGACCATTGAATTTCAATCGTGGCCCCCTTCGACCGACGGTTCCAATGGCGGTTCATGGTGAAAAGAAAGGCTGAACACATATAAGTTGACTACTCAATAAGTAAAGTTGTTCCGACCTCGATAATGAGTAGTTTTGAGTTTGATATTTCTAGTTCATCAAAGATAGAAAAAAAAAAAGGGGTCCTAGCTAGCCAGTGTACTTAAAGTGACCAGAAAATTATGGATCGGAGCAGCTGGTGCCAGCTAGGGGAAAGGTAATGCATGAAAGGAGGGGACCATGAACTTTTGATTCAGTGTATTTCTTAAATTTGGTATAAATGGCATAACATTTTAGATTGAAAAAGCTGCAAATTAAAGGCTTGAGGGGACAAGGACATCTAGAAATTAATTATAAGATGCATACCGATCAAATAAAAGGGGCATCTGGCATGCTACTGATCATCAACGAAAACTGGAAGTTGCAGTACAAATTATAATAGCAACCAATTTTTTCTCTTGTAGAAACAATGAGCTCAGTGGTTTGTTAGCTAGCCTATGTAATTAAACAAGTGAAGTGAAATTCTTTAGGCTTTTTTGTGAGTACTTTGAGCCAGCCAAATTTGATCCAAAAGGAAAATTCTGCAGACAAAAGCCTGTGGCATATATATGAGAGTACTGAAAAAAATTCCTGAAGCAAGAAGGATGGCATTCATTGAATTAAATAGATATGCATGATAATCATTCATGGTTTTGCCAGGAGGAATTAATCCAGGTAAAGTAATTTGGCTAGGAAAAGAGAAAAATAAGGGGGACCAAAACAAAAAACTAAAGACGATTAAAAAAGTACTGAAGTTTACATGAGTTCAGGCTGTGGCAAGAAGAAATTAACTGCCTATAACTTGACATCCTGCACGGTCCATTTAACTATGATCAGTAACTTATTCTGACTATTTCTTTTCTCATAAAATTCAATGAAACAGTTATGTTTTTTTTTTTTTTGGTTGTAGGAAGAAAATAGTCAATAAAGTAATGAACATGTAACTATATATCCTGGAAGGACCTAACCAGAAACAAGTTAATTGAATTGGCTTGAACTTTCAAAGGTCTTCATTTCTTTTCTTTTTTTTTTCATCTAAAAGTTAGGCATTAGTTGAATGTATATCATCGTTGAGAATAGAAGAAACCTTGACTAATTTTATAAGGGTTGATCAAATAGCAGTACTACAGCATTTGGAACACATTTTGAAATCATAAAATTCAAAAGTTTATTCCAAAAAAAAAAAAAAAAAAGAACCTGCAGGATATGGTTTTCTCAACATTAAATCAGATTCAGAAAGACTAATTAATCTCTAATTCTTTTATTAACTTCGTTAATCATTAGTTGTTGCAAATCCATTTTTATTCATTGATTAAACTGAATGGTATAGTAATCAAACAAACTTCTGCCCACACATAAAGATCAAATTAAGGAGGAAATGGTCCCAAAACCCCACAAATTAGCCATTGTTTCTGTGTACTTTTATTGTCAGATTGATATTGTTAGCAGTAAATGCATTTTTAATTTGTATTAGTTA